GGAAATGCTGAGTTTATTGTGGTAATCTTAGGTGACCCACACAGGGCTTTTTCTCTACTCTTAGGAGCACCATCTTTACAGGGAACGGATAACCGACCCCAAGAAACTACAGCAACATACAGTGCCTGAGCAGTGGGCTCTGAGTGTTCTTCAGCTGTCACAGGTCAAAAATTGTTATTCAGTGCTAAAGAACAAAACACCTCTTGACTGGAGGACACGTAAATCTTATAACAAAGATCTGGACTGATCCTTTGACTGTAAGGTGGTTGCTTAGAAGCTGTATCACTTGCCTTTTCACCTTAAAACACCTTCTTTAACACCAGGGACTGTATTGACCTGACCTCCACTGCCTCTATAATTAGTTTTTCTTTCCTTATAATGAATTAATAAGTTGGGTTTTTTATTATGAAAGACTCCTTATTAATGGACAGTTCCCCAGCTTGCTGGGATGGAGATGAGGGAACATGGTTTGAAGGGATTCTGTAACAAAAATGTTTGCAGAAAAGAAGAAATCTGAGATTGTAATGCCTGCAGAGCTGTAGACAGGAGTAAAGAATGAAATGTTCTCACTTTGAATGCATTTAGTCTCTAACATAACACAGAACAAGCCAAAACGTAAACACACTATCTCCTAGCTTACTTGTGACAGCTTATAATGAATGACCGTGCTGCAGATTGAAGTGTCACATTAACGTGCTACAAAATAAGGAATGAGTTTCATCAGCTTTATTCAATATCTTTCTATCTGTGTCTGAAGTACTGAACTATCCATTTTGCTTGGAAATACCTTTGGAAGTGGGAGAGGTTGAAATGTGTACTCTTTATAGATACTAATAAAATACTTTTTTTTTTCTTTTTCTCTCTTCATCCCAAAAATAATAAGTGGAAGATAGACTGGGTTCTGGCTTTGGAATTGGAAAGGTCTAGGAAATATAAGTGTAGGAAGTCAACTGGCTATTTGGATGTAACATTTGGAAACTTTATGTATGACGAAAAAGAAGGGGGGGCAAGAAAATCCCATCAATAATATTTATGGAATTTTTGGTCCATTTCTGGATTAAGGGTACTTTATGAACTGCTAGATCTTCGGTCAGTGAAGCAACCCCTGATTTTAGGCCCCTCTGCTGCCATCTTTCTATATATGAAATTCCCATTACTTACAGGAAAAGACTATAGGATCAGCTTACTGAGGAACATGCTTCATGAATTGTTTCCTGACCTATCGTTCTGTTAATAACGAAATACGGTGATAACTTAAATGCTTCCATTGCTCGACCACAGTTTATTGTGATGAGGAACATAGATGAGGTTTTTTGTCTGTGTTGCATATACATCTGTCTCAGAACTGTGGATTTTTATATTTTGCACTGTCTCTTATTTTTTTCATTACTGTCTAACACTTTTTATTTTTTTCCCCCTCTGTCCTGTGTGCATACTTCTAGATGTTTGACTGGATCAGCCACAACAAAGAATTGTTCCTGCAGAGTCACACGGAGATCGGCGTGAGCTACCAACATGCCCTTGACCTACAGACACAGCACAATCACTTTGCCATGAATTCCATGGTGAGTTGAGGGCACGCTGTGAACAGCGGGTCTGTGTGCGTGAGTGAGGAAAGGGCCGGCACGTGAGGCCACCTCTAGTTCAGAGAGCACTGTGGACCTGTGAGAGGTGAAGTAAGGAAGGTCAGGCTGGGCTGTGGCAGCAGCACTCTTTCTGGGAAGCAGAGTATTGCTCTGTCCACCCAGACACTGATATATTATTATTTCCTTGACTTAAAAGCAGCACAGTCCTGTGGAGTTTGTTTACATTTTGGAGAGCAAATACAATATTTTTTAAAGTTTTTGACATTTCTTTGACTGGGTGTTAATGAGAGCTGTAGGTGGCACGTTAAGGTACTTTTCAAAACCTTGAAGAAGAGACACTAATCAAGCTGTCAGTTGTGGCCACAGTGGGATTTTGGCTTTTTCAGTAGTTAATTGGTCTGTCTTTTTGAACACATCTCAATTTACCTTAGGTTTAAAAAAAAAAACAAAACAAACAAGAAAAAAAAGCATCGTTATACATTTGTAAGTGCTTTGCTCACTTTCTTATTCTTTCCAGGCACAAGGTATTTGTTCTGGAAACTGCTCTGCTTTCAGTACAGAAATGAGGACAGAATGTATTGATGTTTTGATTGTTGCACTGGGTTAGAAAAATGTGTGCATATCCCCTGCTGCAATTGCACAATGCAGAGATGAGCCCTCTCTGAATGCTCTCTGTCAACTACACAAAAGCTTGCCCCGAGTAAACCAATTCCTACAGGTGTACCTCTTCATGCTGTGCACGGTCAGACTACAGTTGCACTGGGGCTGAGACCTCAAAGGTGGTGGTTGATGTTTAAGTTGATGTTGTAAGTCACTAGAGAGCCACACCTTGCTACGCCACCAAAGGGTAAGGTGTTCGAGAGCACCTATCCGAAAAGTGAAAAAGAAGTCCTGACTACCCAAGGTTGTTACAGACCACACACTGCTTTCATATTACAGCTGTTAACCCTAGTATCCTGGCCAAATTCCAGATTAGGTAATTAACTTCTGTGACCTAAATTCCACCCGCCATTTCCACCTACCTAGTTATTCCTCACTAAAGCACTGTGCCTCGCTAGGGCATTGCATAACAGTGGAAGATGAAAAATGTTTATAATGTCTATTAATGTATTTATTGTGATTATAATTGAAAGGAGCACTGAAAAACAAGCTCTAGGCACCTGATTGTTAAGCTTGCCATCACAATGCCATCTAGCAAAATACAGGATAGCGCAGCCTCCATATAACACTGCTGCTCACAGAATCCTAACAAATAAATGGGTTCTGGAGGTTAGTGCATTAAAAGTCATTTGGATTATGAAAGATGCAAAGTCAGTCATAATTCTTCAGAAAATACCATTAAAAAAGTCAAGCTGGAGAACCTCGCTTTATCCTTTTTGTGGTACTGTCTGGTACTATTTTCTTAAAATAACTGGGAGCTAAACTTTGAAAGAGATAATTGTTGTTAGTAGAAAATTAATGGGTGCCAGGGAGGGTGCCACCTAATGGAAGAAAAATTATTTTCCTCCATTCTTCTTCCATCTGTCCCCAGGTGAACTTTTGGGAATGAGGAATGCAAGGAAGTGAGACATTTGCAAAGATCTTGGGGGAACTTCTGGGGGCAGGGACCTCTCACTGCACTGTGGCTTGCAGCTTTGCCATCTCAGTGCTGCCAAACTCCCATCTAATAGAGCTGCCCAGGAGAGAGACCTTT